AGCATCTCATGATGGAAGAATTCCACTTCGCCGGTCGGGCTGTGGATATGATCCTCGTAGATGCACGCGAGGGCAGTCCGGTTCGTCAGAGTCGAAGTCTCTTTCCTGGGAAGCTGGCACAACTGGCATACTTCAAGGCTCTTTTTGATTGGTGCTTCTTCTCCAGAGACGGATATGTCCACTGTTCAGTGAAACCAGGTAGGCGACGACTGAAAGTATTCTTAAAAATTAAAGTTATTTGAGAATTGTGATGACATCATTTATGTTAAGGCCTGAGGCTCAAGGAGTGAAAAGTAGTCAAACACGCATGCATTCCGAAAGACCTTTTTTCCTTTTCATTTCGTGAAATATTGCGGATGTAACTAAAACCAAAGGTACTAACCAGATCAACAAAGGAGAGCTGTTTGGTTATTGGCTAAAAGTATGAATCCTCAGTTCCTAACAGTCCAGGAAACTAAGACCGTTTCAAAATAAAAATAGGAAAAGTGCTAAAATGCCTGACAGAAGAAAAATCGGTCATCGTCAAACATGACACATCATATAACCAGTAAGACAGCGCGTCTATTCTATTTTAACTACTGAAATAGTGGATAGTCTTCTGACATAATTCAACCCTTCCGTAGTCAATTTATTACTGTGGAAAGCGTTGTCTTTCAAGTTCACAAATGTAACCTGACTCCACTTCGCCTATAAATTGTTACGAATCTCCAGTCCCCCAAATTACTCGGTACGACAGTCATCCAACCTTTTCTCTATTGGATAAGTACACGGTTCTGGCCCCTCTTATTGGCCAATTTGACTGCTATTTGTTTCTTAGCATTTTACGCACATTCGGTCTGTTCCTCTACCCCTGTCAGCCTGAAAAATACCATACCTAGACCAACCGAGTGTGAAGGATCATCGAACTTATAAAGTTCATTTGCAGTCGCGTACCTCTGCGTTAGAAATACCTTCAAAATTGTTTTATTACTAGGATGCAAATAAAAAGATTTTCACATTACGGCCGTTTGGGAAACTCAGCATAATGCATAAGAAAGAGTGTCGACAAAAAGTAAGGAAACTGGACTGACAATTTTTAGCTTATAAGCTGTTCTCAGCCAGCCATACCTAGCCCCAGGCTTTGATAAACGAGAATTAAATTCCGGTTTTTGTTGGTCATTGAACGTTACTAAGTTCAGCGCTACAGTATTTAGCCGCCATAATTATCACGTTATATCGTAACCAGCAGGAAAACGCGTCAAGGCTCAATGGTAGAGTGTCGACCTTCACAACCCTCAATGACTAAAGAATCTCCGTTCAAATTCCATGTTGTCTATACCTGTGGTTGGTTCTGGCATGGTAAAGTCGATTAATAAGCCAGCAGTAGCCGTTCCAGTCTCCCTTGTGTTTATCCTTGCTTCTCCTTCGGCATAATTAATTATCGTCATGCAGCTGCTTGCGAAAGCTCTCGATTGGATCCCAAAGCACGACGGGATGGCTAAGTCCCATAATCAAACCAGCGAATGCACATCCATCACGTATCTAAAATTGTTTGCTGTAGCTTAATTAGTGAAATGATGCAATTCCCTTGTGTGTTCTCCTCCTCATCATCATCGGAAGTATATACTGCGTCTTTTAATGCAGGAGTGGAAATTTGTCGGCTCAAAGTACTAAGGGGTTACTACACTGAGCAAAGCTTAATCACGACCTGCTCCACCATTCGTTTGAGTGAGCCAGTAGGTTGTCTGGATAGATCTGTACACATTTTACCAAATTACTGTCCCCAAGTCCAATAAGATGAAATCCTTAAAGTGTGACTTCTTGATTTGGCAAAGACATAATGGACGAAGTCAAGAGCGGTTCCCTTATTGCACGGATCTATGAGTAGAGGTAACTGGGAAGGGTAGTAAAACCGTACAGAAATAAACCATTTGTTGGTCTTTTCCACCCTCAGGGCTATCAAGTCGGTCGCCTGAAGAATTATTGTTTTAGAACTCTAAGGCAGGATCTACCTTACGACTGGTAACCTATCCGGAGAGAGGGATTTAGAGAACTAGACAAATAATTTACTAGCTTCTAGTACATATCATGAATATAAATATTAATTTTGCGGAAATTCGAAGATATAGTGCAGTTTTCAGTAAGGCAGGGATCTTCGCGCGCAGTCGCCCCCTCGAACTAAGAAAGGGGGATGTACAAAAATTCGCCAGATTTTTTGCAGTTTAAAGATTGGATCACAGTTGTGAATAACCGAATGTGCATGGAAGCGGCACATATAGAGCTGCGCTAAAACCAGCAAATTCATAGGACCAAGGGTTTGTAGAAAGTTTTCTAACCAGGCAATAGTACGCCAGTGCAAACGCGGAGTTGTAACGTACCTAAGCGCAGCTTGAAGAAAGGGAGCTGTACAACATTCGTGCTCTACTCCCCACCCAGGAATGCTTTGGATAATATTTTTAAGATTAAGCTGGCAAAGTTGGCTGCAATTACCAAACCTGAATAAATGTATGAAAACTTTCATGTGTTCCGACCACTTTTCACTTGACAGGTGACGGTTGAGTGCCCTATGTATCAAGAAAGTGCAATTTAAAAATTGTATCGTATCGAAATATTGTTCAAGCTGCTCAATTTCATATCTTCCTCGTTTCGTTATTTTACTTTATTTTACTAATACAATTTATTATTCGGCTAGTATTTTGACAGCGCGACCAACTGCATGAATATTGGGTGTGGCGCAGGAAAGGCCGTAGTAAATCTTAGGCCCTTTCCGTCGCTCAGACGCCAACGCAATTAGGCGAATGATCAGTCACTTCAAAGTCCACATTGAAGTCTTCAGGAATATTTGGCTTCCGCAAAAAGGTAGGAATAATTCGGTTTCTGCTACGTGGGAAGCACTGGCCTCTGCTTTTGGTTGCCAGCGTCCAGGTGATGAATGTCTGTAGCTCAGAAGCATTATGCTAAGATGGTGCAACCTTTGCGGCTATCCTTTTTCCACAAAGCCTCCCCAAAGCCTGCGTAAATTTGGGAGCTTGGCTCCTGTTAGCCCCCCGGCCAACGAAATGTACACACACATACACACACGCAAGCATATATAAGTCCCCCGTTAGAGAGGGAGATACGTGATGCGTCATCACTCCGTGGGAGGTCATGCCTGCCACTAGAGTGCTG